CAAGGCTCTCGACCTCACCCTCAAGCTCAGTGACCTGAGACTCAATGGTGGAGGGGTCGATGCTTTGCTCGTGCAAGTCCGTGGGGAGCGGAGTCTCCACTGGGTTGCAGTCAAGGAGACCAAACCTTGAAAGGACCTTCTCAGTGTACCTCTGCTGTGAGATGAAAAGCGACTTGGTGGTCCGGTCCCTCACGATATTCATACCAAGGTAGCGTGAGGGCTCACCCATGTCTGTCATTATGAGGTCTTGGGTGAGCATACCTTTGATGCGTGTGAGGAGACTCCTCACACTTGGTATGTCCACTTGACCTTCAGTGCTCTCTTACCAGGAGGGATTGGTGCCAAGACCCATGTACCTTGTGCAAGGAGGCTATTAATCTCATCTCTCTCTGCCTTTACCCACTCTGCTCTCTCAGCGCTTTCCAGTGCTTGCTTGCGAGTGGATGGCTCAGGTGGGAGGCAAATAATGGCTTGACACATGGCGACTACCTTGCAGTCCATGCAGTGAGGATCGGTGCACTTGGCTGTGACTGGGAAGCATGCACCGACTGCAAGGTTCAGGCGCTGTACTGGCTTGAGTGCTCGCTTGGGACGCTGTGAATGCTCGGTGATACCTTGGTGACTCGTGTTACCATCTGGGATGGTTGGAGGTGTAGGAGGCGTTGTTGTCTCAGGAACATCATTCTGTGGTTGAACGGGTTGAAGAGGCTCGTCTGCTGTGACAAGGACGACGGTTGAAGTGTTGACTGGAGGTGAAGAAGTAGACGGTACGGCTGAAGACGGCTTCTTTGCGGCTGGCTGCTGCTCGGGTGTGAACTCTTGCATTGAGGGTTGCTCCATAGAGGGTTGGAGCGAAGACGGAGCATCGGTGAAGAGCGGGAGAGATGTGTGGTTTGGCTCCGGTTGACTCTGCTGCGGCTCATGAGGCGGTGCGTTGTTCTCAGGTACAGGTGGAGATGCTGTGGTATCTCCAGCAGGTGCACTTGGAGAGGGCTCCACTATGGGTGTTGTGGTGAGTCCTGGTGAAGCGGGGAGAGAGTCTTCGAGAGAGGGAGAAGGAGGGATATCATTTAACTTCCATCGAGCAAGGGACATGTCTTCATGGAAGATCACGTCCCTGCTCACAATCTCCTTGGTAAGGAGGGGGTCCCAAAGAATCCAGCCCTTGCTCTCCTTACTCACGCCAATGTGCACGGCCTAGCATGTCTTGCTCTCAAACTTTCCTCTCTTCTCATCGGGAATGCGTTATTGCGCCATGCACCCAAACACATGCAACATGGAAACATTGGGCTTCTTCCCGTGCCATGCTTCAAATGGGGTGATACCTGAAGGAAGAGCGGTGGTTGGGCGACGATTCTTGAGGTGGACGTCGTGGTTCACGGCTTCTCCCCACCATGCATCGTCTAGCTTCATGTGCAAGAGAAGAGATCTTGCAATTTTATGCAGGGTGCGGTTGAACCTTTCGGCAATGCCGTTCTGCTGAGGGGTGTAGGGGCATGAAAGCTCTTGTGCAATGCCAATGGATGATAGGTGGTTTCGAAATGACTTACTCATGTATTCCCCCCCTCTGTCTGAGTGCAGAGCCTTGACTTGAAGGCCGGTTGTGCTCTTGATGTGTTCATGCCACACTTTCAATGCTTCGGGAACGAGGTCTTTGGACTCAAGAAGAAAGACCCATGCAAAGCGTGTCTTGTGATCAATGAGGGTCATGATGAATCGCTTGCCTGTGCGACTGTGCGTGCGAGCAGGGCCAATGATGTCACTATGAACAAGGTCAAGAGGACTTGCGACTTGAGCATTGACGGGGGGATGAGGGTGATGTGCGTGCTTGGCTTCGACGCATGAAGAACATGGAGAAAGTGACGAGGAAGACTCGGGACTTGGTATGATGCGAAGGCCTTCAAGGCTTGCATGCGCATTGATAGACTTTGTGGTTGATGCTCCAGGATGACCCAGGCGACAATGCCAAGTGTAGGGTGTAGTAGCCGTACCTGGGTGAGGCTTGATGGTAGTTGATGCGGCGGCAGTGTAGCCTTGAACCCGACAGGTTCACGTCGAGCTTGAGGCGATAGAGGCGACCAACTCGCTCGCCACGTGCAATGATGAGTCCCTGGGAGTGAATCTGCATGGACCCACTTGTGAAAGAAACGATGCAGCCTTTCACCTCGAGTTGTCAAACCGGCTCCAAGGTTGGGAACGAGTAGAACTACTAAGATGGAAACCGGCTTGCCGGTGGGGTTGAGAAAGGTGAGAGTTCCTTCTTCCGCGATGGGAGTTGACTCCTTGTTGGCAACGGTGACGGACTTAACTCCTGTGGTGGTAAGAGAGTCTAAGAGGGAGGAGTTGGGGGTCATGTGTTGGTCGCACCCACTATCGAGGTACCAAAAGTCGGGATCAAACGACGATGTGGGCGCGGATGAAGTCATGGCAAAGCTTATGCCCTGTGGTGTGCTTGGGAGGAAGAAGTGGGTGTTGAGTGGGGGAGTGAGATGGGAGCTTGAGATAGTGAAGGCGGTAGGCCTTGTGGTGGAGAAGGGTAAAACATAGGCATTGGTTACATGGGGTAATAAGGAAAGGGATAAGAATGACTTGGGTAGAATTGGGATGCTTGACGTTGGGGTAAGGAAAGTTGTTGAGGCTCATTTTGACAGCTCACTGCGTATGAAAGGGCAGCTCCACCCTTAGCGATAACAAGGTGTGGAGGAGGTGTCCAATTGGGAGGTTTATGGGAGCATTTGAACCATGGGTGTCCCCAGGATGACAAAAATGACAAGTGAAGTTAAACTTCCCCGATCTTCCCCGATTGGGGCTTGGTGGGTTGAGAAGGACTAGATGAGGAAGGTTGATTGAATGAGGAACTTGATGACGGGTAGCGACCAAGGAGAGATGGGTTAGAAGACTTACTTGTTTGTCAATGGTTATTGCCTTTGTTGTTGTTGTTGTTGTTGTTGTTGTTGTTGTTGTTGTTGTTGTTGTTGTTGTTGTTGTTGTTGTTGTTGTTGTTGTTGTTGTTGTTGTTGTTGTTGTTGTTGTTGTTGTTGTTGTTGTTGTTGTTGTTGCTGTTGCTGTTGTTGTTGCTGTTGTTGTTGCTGTTGTTGTTGTTGCTGTTGCTGTTGTTGCTGTTGCTGTTGTTGTTGTTGTTGCTGTTGTTGTTGTTGCTGTTGTTGTTGTTGCTGTTGTTGTTGTTGTTGTTGCTGTTGTTGTTGTTGCTATTGTTGTTGTTGCTGTTGTTGCTGTTGTTGTCGTCGCTGTTGTTGTCGTCGTCGCTGTTGTTGTCGTCGTCGCCGTTGTTGTCGTCGTCGCCGTTGTTGTCGTCGTCGTCGTCGTTGTCGTCGTCGTCGTCGTTGTCGTCGTCGTCGTCGTTGTCGTCGTCGTCGTCGTTGTCGTCGTCGTCGTAGTTCTCGTCGTCGTCGTCGTTGTCGTCGTCGTCGTAGTTGTCGTCGTCGTCGTTGTTGTCGTCGTCGTCGTTGTTGTGGTCGTCGTCGTCGTTGTTGTCGTCGTCGTCGTTGTCGTCGTCGTCGTCGTTGTTGTCGTCGTCGTCGTTGTCGCCGTCGTCGTCGTTGTCGCCGTCGTCGTCGTTGTTGTCGTCGTCGTCGTTATTGTCGTCGTCGTCGTTGTTGTTGTCAGAATGTTATTATCTAGCCTGTAGTGGGGTGCTCTATAGCGAGTACAACCCAGTTAGGGTTTGCTATATGTATCCCAACTGCTGCTAGTGAACCCCTCCTTTCTTCAATTCTGTTTCTGCCTGCTAATTTTCACATGGTTTCAGAGCAGGTCGACCCCCTTGGGTCGATCCTGTGGGTGGGCCCGCCACCTAACTGCTTCCGCTGCTATTCTACTTCTCGCGCGCCTCGGGCGCGCGACATCTTCTTCCTGCCGTGCGCTCGGGGCGCGCGGCGGTTTTCTGCTGTGGGGACCCGCGCACAGCCCCCTCCCGTCTCGTCGCGTCGCCCTGCAGGCAGCGCGCGCCCCCCCTCCCGTCCGTCGCGGCGCCCTGGGGAGTAGCGCGCGGCCCCCTCCCGTCCGTCGCGGCGCCCTGGGGAGCTGCGTGCGCCCCCCCCCCCCCGTCCGTCGCGGCGCCCTGGGGAGTCGCGCGCGGCCCCCGCCTGTCCGTCGCGGCGCCCTGGGGAGCCGCGCGCGCCCCCCGTCCGTCTGTCGCGGCGCCCTGGGGAACCGCGCGCGCCTCCCCGCCCGTCCGTTTCGGCGCCCTGAGGAGGAGCGCGCGGCCCCCCTTCTGTACCGTCCCTCCCCCCCACCCCCCCCCCCCCCCCCCCCCCCCCCCCTTCCCCCGTGCTGCCCATTCCTCCCGTGCCGCCGTGCGTTCCGCGGTGGTGGGGGGTGTGGGGTGGCAAGCATGGGGGTGCGCGGTGTGGGTGTTCCCCTCCTCCTTGTTTGTCTCCCACTGCTGCAGCTGCTGTTGAGGGGGGTGGAGGTGTGGGAGCCACGGGGAGTGGAGCTGGGGGGGTGACGTGGAAGTCGAGCTAGGGTTTCTGCAGGGGGTGTGTGATAGGGGCGTGGGGAAGTTGGCGGAGGTTGAACGGAGGTCGCAGTCGTGTCGCCAGCAGCACCAGTATTCCGGAGGCTACAATCTCCGGTAGTCGCCAGTCGACTGTGGGTCAGTTGCTCCAGTCAGGAGGCTACAATCTCCGCGGAGCCAGTTACTTCTGTAGTCCGGGCCTTTGCTTCGGTAGCCACTGAGCCAGCAGCTCCTGTGTGTCTGCAACTTCAGCAGTCGCCTCCCATCTTCTCGCCCCCACAGTCTCTCCTCCTCCTCACTTGCCCTCTGTGATAGCTACTAGCTTTGCTTGTAATTGTGAACTACTGCAATGCCTGCTCATTGTACTGATTACACCCCACTTTGGCTATGGGGGTGTGTCAGAATGTTATTATCTAGCCTGTAGTGGGTTGCTCTATAGCGAGTACAACCCAGTTAGGATTTGCTATATGTATCCCAACTGCTGCTAGTGAACCCCTCCTTTCTTCAATTCTGTTTCTGCCTGCTAATTTAAACAGTTGTCGTCGTCGTCGTTGTTGTCGTCGTCGTCGTCGTTGTCGTCGTCGTCGTCGTCGTTGTCGTCGTCGTCGTAGTTGCTGTCGTCGTCGTCGTTGCTGTCGTCGTCGTTGTTGCTGTCGTCGTCGTTGTTGCTGTCGTCGTCGTTGTTGCTGTCGTCGTCGTTGTTGCTGTCGTCGTCGTTGTTGCTGTCGTCGTCGTTGTTGCTGTCGTCGTCGTCGTTGCTGTCGTCGTCGTAGTTGCTGTCGTCGGAGTCATTGCTGTCGTCGTCGTTGTTGCTGTCGTCGTCGTTGTTGTCGTCGTCGTCTTTGTTGTCGTCGTCGTCGTTGTTGTCGTCGTCGTCGTTGTTGCTGTCGTCGTCGTTGTTGCTGTCGTCGTCGTTGTTGCTGTCGTCGTTGTTGTTGCTGTCGTCGTCGTCGTCGTTGCTGTCGTCGTCGTTGTTGCTGTCGTCGTCGTTGTTGCTGTCTTCGTCGTTGTTGCTGTCGTCGTCGTTGTTGCTGTCGTCGTCGTTGTTGCTGTCGTCGTCGTTGTTGCTGTCGTCGTCGTTGTTGCTGTCGTCGTCGTCGTTGCTGTCGTCGGAGTCATTGCTGTCGTCGTCGTTGTTGCTGTCGTCGTCGTTGTTGTCGTCGTCGTCTTTGTTGTCGTCGTCGTCTTTGTTGTCGTCGTCGTCGTTGTTGCTGTCGTCGTCGTTGTTGCTGTCGTCGTCGTTGTTGCTGTCGTCGTTGTTGTTGCTGTCGTCGTCGTCGTCGTTGCTGTCGTCGTCGTTGTTGCTGTCGTCGTCGTTGTTGCTGTCTTCGTCGTTGTTGCTGTCGTCGTCGTTGTTGTTGTCGTCGTCGTTGTTGCTGTCGTCGTCGTTGTTGCTGTCGTCGTCGTTGTTGCTGTCGTCGTCGTTGTTGCTGTCGTCGTCGTCATCGCTGTCGTCGTCGTGTCGTCGTCGTCGTTGCTGTCGTCGTCGTCGTCGTTGCTGTCATCGTCGTTGTTGCTGTCGTCGTCATTGTTGCTGTCGTCGTCGTTGTTGCTGTCGTCGTCGTTGTTGCTGTCGTCGTCGTTGTTGCTGTCGTCGTCGTTGTTGCTGTCGTCGTCGTTGTTGCTGTCGTCGTTGTTGTTGCTGTC